AGGGGGGGGGGCGGATGCCGTTGGCAGGGACGTTGTCTGGATAAGAGCAGGCTCTGCTATGCAGTCGCCAGCCCCTGTAGCCCTGAGCTGGGGCCGGTGGCACCCGGTCGCTGCCCGGAGGAACGGGCCCGTCCTCCGTGCAGTTTGCTTTCCCCCATCATCCCCACCCCTTGTGTTTCCAGTGCGTGGATAACATTCGCTGCAACGGCCTCATGATGAACGCCTTTGAGGAGAACTCCAAGGTCACCGTTCCCCAGATGATCAAGTAAGCGCCTTCCGCCCTGGTGCGCCGGGTGGGCTCTGCGTCGCCCGCTGGGCTTTCCCCTGCCCCAGTCTAGCGCAACTCCCACGGGAGCCGCATACCCAAACGCTGCTCAAACCGCTGCCTCTGCCTCCGTTTCGAAGCCGTGGGAGGGTGCCGCGTAGGCGGCGGCGGGCTAAGCCCCTTGCGTGTAATCCTGCTTGCAGCGAGACCGTTAATCAACGACCACCGTAGAGCTGTCGTGAGAACTGGCGCCGGGCGAGGCTGAACCGGCGTTACTGCGCTGCGATGCAGCGTGCGTTTGGCGGGTCTTTCTGCGCGCTTGGCCTGTGGTTCTGGGCGCAGTGATTAGAGGCGCTAATTAGCTGGGCCTGGCTCTGGGAGCGGACGTTTATGCGAGGACATTTGTGCTGGGAGAGGTGGGAGGAGGGAAGTGCAAGGGGCTGGTTCCCAAGGACGGGGAAAAGCCTCTTTGTCCATGGGTGTCCCCGGGAGCCGGGGGCAGTGGGAAGCAGTCTGTCACTTCACGTTTTTTTGCACAAACACCTGCCTGTTGAGCATCGGGGAGTATCTCTACCCATTTTGGGGCGCTGGTTTCCTAGCTTTCCCTGGAAGTATTCCCGCCCGTGCTTTATGTAGGGGCACCTCCATAGGAACGAGACTCCTTCAATACTGAGGAGCCTCTACCTGTTCTCCGAGGTCCCCGCACATGTTTCAGGGGAAGCTGCTCGTGCTGAGCAGCTCTTGGTTTCGTTCCAGGCTGGGACCACAGGCATCTTGTTTCTCTGCAGGTCTGATGCCAGCTTGTATTGTGATGATGTTGACATTAGGTTCAGTAAAACGATGAATTCCTGCAAGGTCCTCCAGATCCGCTATGCAAGCGTGGAACGGCTCTTGGAGAGGCTGACGGACCTGAGGTTCCTGAGCATTGACTTTCTGAACACGTTTCTGCATTCCTACCGCGTGTTCACCACCGCCCTGGTCGTCCTGGACAAGCTCATCACGATCTACAAGAAGCCGATCAGTGCCATCCCCGCACGGTGAGGCCGCGCCGCGTCTCGGCCCTGCCGGGGCC